TTAGCAGCATTCAACTATAGCCTATATTCACGGAGAGTGGAAAAAGGTATCTACCAAGTCTGCAATGTTGTCACTCTGGCTTCTGCTCTTGACCAACATATCATTGATGTACACCTCAATGGTATTCCTTATTTTTCACTTGAACATCCGATTTATGAGCCTCTGGTATGTTGCACCCGTGTTCTTCAACACAAACGACATGACCTTATAGGAGTAGACCCCTTTGGAGTGATGAAGGCAATCTTTTCTTGATCTGCGAATGGAGGGGGATATGGTGGTAGCAGGCTTGGGCATCCATGAAGGTCATGAATTCATGTCCCGCTGTGGCATCAACCAGCTGATCAACCTTAGGAAGGGGATAATCATCATTGGGGCAAGCCTTGTTCAAGTCCGTGAAGTCCACGCAAACATGTCATTTCCCACTCTTTTTCTTTGCGTAGATGGTGTTTGACAACCATTCTGGGAATTGCACCTCCCAGATGGCATCAGCCTCCAGGAGCCTCTCTACCTCCTCATTCACTGCCTAGGTATGATGCGGTGGCAAGCCGAGGATTTTTCTTGATGGGCTTATGATTGGGATCAACATGAAGTCTGTGAGTTATAACATCCAGACTTATTCCTTTCATCTTTACGATGTCCCATGTGAACACATCCACATTCTGCCTCAAGAAATTAGTCATCTCCTCCTCCTTGAAAGTGGACTTAGTGGAGTCGATCAGAAAGTATCTTTCCTCATCCCCGTCCCTTAGGAGTACCTTTTAGAGATTCTCCACGGAGAGGTCGATTAGGTCAATCTGTGGATAATTGATGCCTAGCCGCCTAGATTATAGTTGCTATTTGTTTAACACTTCCTCCGGAGCATGCACCCTCTCCTTTAAGGTAACCCCGACTTTTACGACAGCATAAAAATAACTTTTTACTGAAGCTTAGTCTCCAAAAATCTCCAGTCTTCCCTCTAGGGTGGGGAACTTCAACTTTTGATGATAGATGTAGTGCACTGCTCCAAGTAAATGCAACTAAGTCCGCCCCATTATTATGTTGTATGGTGAATCAAAGTAAATCACCATAAATTCTATATCGATCACGACGGTCCAGTAGTGACCTACAGAGTGATCTTCCCTAGAGGTAAGGTGAATGAGCCGTTGAACTCGACCAGGGGTGTCTTGACAGTAGTAAGATTCTTGGATCCGAGGCTCATTACATCTCCTCCGAGGAGCTTCCCGAATCTACGAGGACCCTCTTAATATCAAAGCCCCTATTTCATAACATTATGATCAAGGCATCCTCATGGAGGAGGACCATGCTTGCTAAGTCGGCATTTGAGAAGGTGATGCCACCTTGATCCATCTGGGGCCTCTTACTTGTCTGGCCCCTGGCGAAGGCTAGCCTCTTCAAGTTGGACCTGAGGGTATTGGTTGTTGGTTGTTTCAAGGGGCAGACGTGGATGATGTCGATGACATTGCCACGGACAGGAGTGTGGTCATCGACGATGCCTGTCTCCCTCAACGCCTCCTCCGCGATGTACTCCTTAAGGTATTCATCCTGGACTAACATCTTCAAGAAACACTTGTACACTCTGCAATCCTTGATAAGGTACCCCATGTCCTTGTGGTACGAACACTTGACATTCTGGTTTCTGGTGGATGGATCACCTTGTATCTTGGGTGGCCACCTAAGAATGTTTGCTTCTTGATCTTATGCAACAACTTGTAAATGGGCTCTTTGAACACAGTATGGGTCCCTCTGAAGGAGTTCCCTAACGTCGGGATTAGACCTTTCCTAGGAGGGGCTCCCTCATTCTTCTTATCCTTTTTCTTTGGGGCTAAGTTTTTCCCTTTACTCCCGCCCAACTCATCTTCCACCCTGGAGTACTTGTTGATTTAGGCCATCAACTCGCCCATGTCCACCGGTGTTTGTTTTGTCCATGACTTATAAAGATTTGTGTTCTGAGAGAGGCTAAGTCTGAAAAAGGCCACTACCCTGACCTTAGAACATCACTCCACCTCATTTACCTCCTCCCAATAGCTAGTGTTATACTGGCAGAGTGTTTCACCTTCCCTCTACCAGAGGGTCAAAAATAATCCAACATCCTTGGGGTGTTTACTCCTTGTGATGAACCGTGTGGAGAAATATCTAGACAGTTCCCTCTAGAACCCTATGCTATTTGGCGAGATGGTCTCAAACCACTTCATGGTCGTATCGCCTAGGCTCAATGAAAACACCCTGCATAAATAGCCTATGATCTAAGTGATACAGGGATTTCATTTGTTTGTATTGTCGGATATGAGCCTTCGAGTCAGAATATCCATCATAAACCTTGAATTGTGACGCCACAAACTTCTTTGGTACCTCCATGTCCATGATGCTTCTAGTGAATGGTGACAAAATGGCTTCATCATCTGTGTCGACATCGAGGGTAGTCCTCCCCGTCCTTATGGAGTTCAATTTAGATCTGAGGTCCTCCTCGTCCTTGTGGTGCCTCCTTCCACCACAATCACGATGATGCAATATGCCCCCCGGCTCCTCCATTCTTCGTACAGAGGTTTAACCCCTCCTTGGAGTCTTCAGTGCCCCCTCGCTTGGACAATCTCTGATGGAGGCCATTTAAGGCCAAGGGTTTAGTCCTCTTGGATGGGACCTTCGGGTCCTGTCCCTTGACCTTGGAAGTTTTGGAGCCTTGGAGTCCCCTGCTCCATCATTGAGACAATTTTTCAAGTGATTGGCCCCTACCTCCTTAAAGAAGGGCTCCTTAGATTATCATAAGTTTCAAGACTCCCCACCAGAGAGTGCAAATTCATCAAGTCTATTGAGAACATTCACGTTGTTCTCCTCCATCTATGTTAAATGGTCCCCCCAACTGCTCCTTGATGAGATCGGCGAGATGACTAGCCAAGGGGCCATCTCTTTCACCCACAGGACTCAGTTTAGTTTGGTGGGTTCTTTCCCTAGAATGAATCGAAAGCTCCTTGTTGACGCTTTCAACATGATCTTTTGTTCTTGATATGGAAGAAGCTGGTACATCTATCTTTCTTTGTTAAGGACCCTTTCCTTTCAAACGCATATTCACCATGGTCACTGTCTCAAGAAAACTTGGTCACTTCCCATAGACAATGCCAAATTGTGCATGATGATTTTTTGCACAATAAATAAATTGACAGATCTCTCCCCTGATGAACTCAAGTTTACCTGAAAAGTTGAGAGCCCTGTAGCAAATAGAGGTTGAAAAATAGTTTCAGAAGTGGTGATGAATCTCTTTTCCAACTATCTGGTCATTCTTGACTTATCTAGATGAGCCCTATTACACAAGAAGAAATGGTAAAAGGGTTCCAGAGTGTCTTTTGATGTGACCCCTTTGACGATCAAGTCAGTACGTAAGAGAGGGGTAGGAAACACTGTTCTATTGTTTGGGTGAGAATGCATGTACCTTTGTTTTGAGTTTTTGAGAGCTATTTATATCTCCATGGAGCTAATCATTGTGGACAAGTGGGTCCCCTAGAAGGAAGACTCCCTATTGGCCCATATGGAAGACGACCTATAGCGCACAATCCTCGGGCAGAGTGTCTTCCCTATCTTATGGAAAGAAGTTTTTGCATTTAATGCTCAGATCCTCGAGCATTTAATACTCACCTTCCGAGGTGCATCGAGCAATAAATGTGTTCCATCTTTTTGAGGGGTTATTCAATATTTCCTTATGGTGGCTGCACATGTGTAGGGGTACTTTTGTCCATTATCTCCCAATTTTGCGCTTTGCACTTCGTGGATCACTATTATTGGTTACTGACCTACCCCTTATGACATTCTGATTGCATTGGGAAGGGGAGTCTATGACAAACATCCAACTCTGCTTCCAAGTCACGATAACCATCGAAATCGCTATTCATACTTCGCTGGCGTGGAAGACAAGGTGCCGAGGTGACATGTTTAATGGTGGTCCCTCGGGATGGCATATATGCCAAGGACATGTTTTGAACGGCTCGGGGTACGAGGACCTTGGCATCGAGGACACGTGTCAACACAGTGATGCTTTGGGAGTTGTCAATGCATGGAGCGTCTGGGGTGTAGTACATCCAGGACACGTGTCACTCTTAGGAAGCTCCGAGGGGACCTATGCCAAGGACAAGTGTCAAACCAAGGAGGTTACATGATATTCATGTCGTGGCCACATGTCAATTCCCTATTAACTCATGGAAATGTCCAATCACTTTCTACTAGCCAGCCTCTCACATGGATTCCACCTGCTGCTATGACTAGATTAAAAATCAATTTTGATGGGGCCTATGAAAAATAATAATAAACATGATTTTTCATGTTTTAGGAGTTATTTTTATGTATTTAGTTTTTTGTATCAGTGGGCCATCAATTTCCTTTTAGTGGGGGACAAAATAATTGTGTTATTTTAAATCTCCAAGTAATGGAGGAGTAAGGTATTTATTATTTTTATTATTGCATTATATAGTGAGTTATATTGTATAAGTCTATATATATCCTATGTAATATATCTGTTTGGATATGAGTGAATTGAAAGAGTTCTTCTAATCTTCAATTGCCTCTTCNCGTAAGAGAGGGGTAGGAAACACTGTTCTATTGTTTGGGTGAGAATGCATGTACCTTTGTTTTGAGTTTTTGAGAGCTATTTATATCTCCATGGAGCTAATCATTGTGGACAAGTGGGTCCCCTAGAAGGAAGACTCCCTATTGGCCCATATGGAAGACGACCTATAGCGCACAATCCTCGGGCAGAGTGTCTTCCCTATCTTATGGAAAGAAGTTTTTGCATTTAATGCTCAGATCCTCGAGCATTTAATACTCACCTTCCGAGGTGCATCGAGCAATAAATGTGTTCCATCTTTTTGAGGGGTTATTCAATATTTCCTTATGGTGGCTGCACATGTGTAGGGGTACTTTTGTCCATTATCTCCCAATTTTGCGCTTTGCACTTCGTGGATCACTATTATTGGTTACTGACCTACCCCTTATGACATTCTGATTGCATTGGGAAGGGGAGTCTATGACAAACATCCAACTCTGCTTCCAAGTCACGATAACCATCGAAATCGCTATTCATACTTCGCTGGCGTGGAAGACAAGGTGCCGAGGTGACATGTTTAATGGTGGTCCCTCGGGATGGCATATATGCCAAGGACATGTTTTGAACGGCTCGGGGTACGAGGACCTTGGCATCGAGGACACGTGTCAACACAGTGATGCTTTGGGAGTTGTCAATGCATGGAGCGTCTGGGGTGTAGTACATCCAGGACACGTGTCACTCTTAGGAAGCTCCGAGGGGACCTATGCCAAGGACAAGTGTCAAACCAAGGAGGTTACATGATATTCATGTCGTGGCCACATGTCAATTCCCTATTAACTCATGGAAATGTCCAATCACTTTCTACTAGCCAGCCTCTCACATGGATTCCACCTGCTGCTATGACTAGATTAAAAATCAATTTTGATGGGGCCTATGAAAAATAATAATAAACATGATTTTTCATGTTTTAGGAGTTATTTTTATGTATTTAGTTTTTTGTATCAGTGGGCCATCAATTTCCTTTTAGTGGGGGACAAAATAATTGTGTTATTTTAAATCTCCAAGTAATGGAGGAGTAAGGTATTTATTATTTTTATTATTGCATTATATAGTGAGTTATATTGTATAAGTCTATATATATCCTATGTAATATATCTGTTTGGATATGAGTGAATTGAAAGAGTTCTTCTAATCTTCAATTGCCTCTTCCATTATATTTTTTGTGAGTGTATGATAGTTCTCTAGATTCCAACAAAGTAGTATTTAGAGTTAGGATTGAGTGTCAAAAAAGGGAGAGTGAGAGAGAGATGTTGAATGGATCAAATGCCTTGATTCACCAAAGATAATTATGAGAATTGGTGTATCTGCATGAAGACAATTCTTGGATGATGCCAAGCAAACATGGGATGTTCTTGAAACTGCTCATAGTGGAGTGAAAAAAGTCAAGAAAGTTCGCCTTCAAACACTATGAGGTGAATTTGAGGCTTTACATATAAAAGAATCTGAATTAATTTCAGATTATTTCACAAGAATCCTAGTGGTCGTGAATAATTTGAGAACGTATGGTTATGATCACTATGATGATACCCGAGTTATATAAAAAATTCTCTATTCATTGGACCTCAAGTTTGAGTATATTGTGGTAATCATTAAAGAGTCTAACGATTTAGACACAATGGAGATTAACAAACTCATGGGATCGTTGTTAACCCATGAAGAATGGTTACGCAAGAAGAAGCAAGAGTTATTGGAGAAAGTGCTACAAACCAAGCTTTCTTTCAAACAAAAAGAAAGTAGGCAAGATAAAATTCGATAAAAATTGACTAGATAACTAGATTTCGCGAGACGAATCCAATGGTGAGGTCCGTTTCACATTCGAGTTCTTAAAATTTGAGTTTTCAACTCGCAACGTAATGGTTAATTACCATTTTGCCCTTCACAATAAAATTTTAAATTTTCTCAAGTTTTACAGATCCCATAGGCTATAAGAAAGCGACACAAAATAAGAAGTGGAGAAGTGTCATGAACAGAGAAATTGAAGCTATTGAAAGGAATGAAACATGGAAATTTGCCACACTTCCTAGAGGACAAAAGGTTATTGGAGTGAAATGGGTGTACAAGACAAAGAAAAATGCCAAAGGTGAAGTGGAAAGGTATAAAACAAGATTGGTTGTGAAAGTCAAAGACTGAGTATTGACTACGATGAGGTATTTGCACCTGTTGCTTGATTGGAAATAATTAGATTGAATATTTCTTTAGCCACTCTAAATGATTGGAAAATTCACCAAATAGAAGTGAAAGTCTGCTTTTTTGAATAACTTTCTTGATGAAGAGGTGTATGTTGAACAACCCTTGGGTTATATTGTGAAAGGGCAAGGAGAGAAAGTATTAAAATTAAAAAAAGCTTTATATGACTTGAAGCAAGCACCAAGGGCTTGACATATTAGACTTGACAAGTACTTTCAAGCAAATAATTTCACCAAGTATCCCTATGAACATGCTCTTTTGTGCAAAGGTGAATGATAATGGTGATATACACTATGCTTGTTTGTATATGGATGACTTGATCTTCACAAAAAATTGTCCAAGAACATTTGTTTATACAAGGTTGCTAGAACTTTAGACTTCGATTAGTTGATGAGACCTAAGAGACCTTTAGAGAAGGAGTCTCTGAGACAAAGCGAGACACATGCCAAATATAAGTTTGACCCTATAAAGGTTGAGGTAGTGGGTGATAATATTGAGGTTGAGATACATGGTACAACTTTTGTAGAGTTTGGTACATCTAGTCACACGCCACAGTCAAGGCAGGTACGAGGTCATACCTCACGTACCACACTCCCTAGGACACCTCTTGCAACTGCATTGGATCAGTGAACTATAATTCAATTAGCACTAGGAAAATTGTAGAGTGGTATTGATTAGTAGCATAGTTTTTTTTCTCTCTATATGGATGCTATTGATGATGGTATGATGAGCCTACAAATGGATTAGCAAGATATTAGGAGGGATGTTCCACGTCTCAGGCACATGATGCAAAATTTGGCTTTATATTAGATCATGAGCCCGAGACCCATAGAAGAGATTGTGGAGATATAGCCATTTGAGCTATGGTTTTTAGAGAATTAGGATAGATCCTATGTGAGCATGAGTGTTTCTACATCTATTTAGGTTAAGCCTCTTAAGTCTATAGAGAGAATTTTATTCATCTACCTTAAGAGTTTCTATCACAACATAGATCCCTTAGATACAAATGCTACCACTAAAAATTCTATCTAACCTCACAAATTGGAGTTTAAGATCTTGTTGGTTTGATAAACCCATTGGTGTATGCATACCAACGATTGTTGGTGTGCCCATAATCGCTCGAGGCTTAAACAAACCGTGTTGTAGGGAGAGACATGGTAAGGAAATGAGAATCTAATCATGATATTAGTTGAGGTATAAGTCTCGAATACTTGTATGTTAACTTAGGGAGTAGTGGATTAAGCTTTGGTGAACTGAGAAGGTTTTTTGCTATTTATTTTGATGAGGGTTTTTCACATCAACAAATCGCTTGTGTTCTTTACTTTCTATTGTATACACTTGTGCTTGTTAGCACACATGCACACTATGTATTTGTTAGACTAATTGATTGAATATCTATCCATACATATTTGTGCATTGGGGGTTTGGGAATTTGAGATCTACATGTGAATAATTACGAGCAAATTAATTGAAAATTAATTTAATTAATCATCATGTGTGTCATGGGTTGTGATGTATGAAATGGGTTCTCATCATAAATTTTCACTTCAATTGAGAAGAGGTAATTGTGGTAGATATTTGTTTTTTTAATTGGTAATCAATTTGGACTATAATTAAAAAATCTATTCGCCCCCCTTTATGTATAGTGTCTTGGGTTCTAGGTGTATAACGGTGAGGGAAGATCTATGTTAGATTTTTCTTCTCGGAACACCACTTTTGTTTGTCAAAATTAGTGTCGATCCTAGGCATAGGCCACTAAGGTGGCTACCTAGTGCCCTAAGTTTTAGAGGGCCAATTCTTTTCTTCTTCTTCTTTTTTTTTTATGTTTTAAATAGGATCTAAATTTTTAGGCCCCAAATTTTAAGATAATTTACAAAAACATTGTCTTAAGCTTGAAATTTTGGTAAAAAATACGGAAACCCCTGAGTTTTTCAATATTACATTGATACCCCTAACATTTTACATATAACACGGAGACCCCCTAAGGTTTAAAACTCATTACACGGAGACCCCTTCAGTCAATGTTGCTAACAGAAAGTTATGATTTCATTCCAAAAAAACTTTATTATTTTCATATTGTCATTCTCTAAATTTAGTACCAAAAAAATTAAAAAGTTAATAAAAAAAAAATTGATTCAGTACCCAAAAAGTTTATATAATTTAGTACCCCAAAAAATTGATTAAATAAATTTAATATTAATTTGATAACAATAAAAAATAATGTGATATTAATTCGACGAAGTTGAATATAAATTGGATAAAATTAAATGTCAACTTGATAAAATTATATATTAATTTATAATTTAAGGTTTATTTCGTGTTATTTATCGTATATAAACTTAAAAATTTATATTTTAAACCATAAAATTTTAATACATATATTTTTTTATAGCATAACGATTTTCTTCTTACTATATCACTTGAAAAACTTTCTTTTGGTCAAGATTCGACCATATATACTTAAATCAAACTAATTGTTTACTCCCATTTTTTAATTTTTTTAAGAGAATTGCTCACCTCCACTTGGTAAAGTCAAAAACCTCTAGTTCATGTGAACAATACGTGAAACTAAATTAAAAAGTTGACAAAAAATTTGAAAAATTGATTGTTCAATTGACATTTAATTTTGTCAAATTAATTTTCAAATTTGTCAAATTAATTTTTATTGTTATCAAATTAATATTAAAATTTATTTAAATAATTTTTTGGGGTACTAAATTATATCAATTTTTTCGGTACTAAATCAAATTTTATTTAATTTTATTAAAATTTTAATTTAATTTTAATGTTTTTGATACTAAATTTGGAGAAGGACAACTGTGAAAATAATAAAATTTTTTGAGATGAAATCATCATTTTCCACTAGCAACATTAACAAAAAGAAGACAGAGAGTTTTTCGTGTAATGAGTTTCAAATCTCAGGGGTTCTCTGTACTATTTGTAAAATATCATGGGGAATCCGTATAATATTGTTAAAACTCAAAAGGTGTCTATATTTTTTATCCTTGAAACTTTTCTAAAACATGATGTACTGACTAATATCGATAGCTCAGTTCTACTTTGAGAATTAAAAGTTTTGAAAGAAGTTTTAAAAATTAAAATCAACACTCCAATTGAAATATTAAACTAGATAAAAAGACTAAATTTTTTTCCGAATAAATGTATTGTTTATAGAATTTTGTTAACTCTACAGGTAATAGTTGATTTAGCCAAATTTTTTTTGTTTTCAATACTTAAATTGATAAAATCTTATTTAGGATCAATTATGTTACAAGAAAGATTGAATGAGTTAACTATATTTTCTATTAAGATAAATTTATTGACAAAACTTGAATATAAGAACTTGATTAATATTTTTGTATTTCAAAAAGTAACAAAATAAATTTTAAATAAATAAAAATAATATATATTAATACACAAAATATTAATAGGCCCCAAAAAGTTTTCGCCTAAGACCACCTTTTATGTTGAGCCGCCCTGATCAAAAAAAAAAAAAAAAAAAAATATATATATATATATATATATATATATTGTGCGTGCAAGATCCTGCACAA